CAAGCACTTACGAACGTGTACATCTTTCCTCAATCTTTGACGGCTTTGGTTACATTTATTAAACAGTTTACAAGCATGAAAACTTCCCATTCAACTGTTGTTATTGTTATAAACAGCTTTCTAGTGCTTCGGAGCTCATTAGCTGTTTAATAATTGGAAACAAAGCCGCCAAAGATTGAGAAAAGATGTACAGGTCCGTAAGTGCTTGCGTAAGTTCTTTCGTGAATCTGGCCCCTGAACCACAGCTCCCGCAAGACAATCCACGCCACGGGCTCACCATAGCCAGTGCTACATGGAAATGTTGTTCCGGTAATCTAAAACCATAACAATCCATGCAGCATCGGCTCGTAGTTAACACCTCATGAATCACAAGAAGTTTGCAACAAGATTAGTACAAGAGTAATACAGAAAAATCTACGTAGACTGGTTAAGGAAATTCAGATTAGTAACCTTAAAGACGAGCATTCAGAGCAGCCCTGTTCACGACATACAAAATACCGAGGGGGGGGGCAATAGGTTTGCAAGAACAGGCTTTTTATATTGGGATAAAACAGGACCACATAGTATCAGTGGAAGCTAGAAACGCAAATGAGTCGAAGAAATATCGTAAGAGTATTGAATTCACTCAATACTCTTACGATAGTCGTAAGAGTATTGAATTCACTCAATACTCTTACGATAGTCGTAAGAGTATTGAATTCACTGAAAGAAGTCATAGAAGCCACCTCCATCCACACCTTTAGAGAACGCAAAGAAAGTCTGTTTGGCGGAGAGTGAAGAGCTAGACCTCATTTTCTGGCAGTCACTGACAGGTAAGTGCTGATTGGTAAGTACTACTCCCCCCCCCCTTACCCCTCTTCGTCAAAGACACCGTCAGGTGGCCAGTACCACCACCACACACACCGTCAGGAGACTATTTGTGGGACGTGTCTGGCCTCCTCGCCCACACCGCCGCCGGCCGCATACCCCTATTCCCCATTGATTATTTCACTCACGCTTCGCGATCCGAGGGTCAACACCGCGAATAATTACACCATTCACCCGCTGCGAGAGAGAGAGAGAGAGAGAGAGAGGGAGGCAGCGATCGACGGCCCAGAGCGACTGGTGTGTGATGATGGACTTTAAATGCCTGTTTACATATCCAGCCCTCACCTGACAGCCCCCTCACACCCCCTCGCTTGATGATATATACGTGTCGGATGTCAGATCTTCGTATCCGGAATTAATTGCCTTTTTTATCCGATGTGTCAGATCGACCGAAAGCGCCGTGGTGTGTGTGTGTGTGTGTGTGTGTGTGTGTGTGTGTGTGTGTGTGTGTGTGTGTGTGTGTGTGTGTGTGTGTGCTGACGGGAACGATAGCTGTCACTCAGTGTCATCACATTCTTGTCGGGGCAAAGTTATTCTTTTGCCTGTAGGGTCGCTAATGTGTACAGCTTGGCTGCGGGTTAGTGCTTCGTTGGCAAGCGGCCGCACTGGCACTCTCAGTCAGATTACCTGGCACTCTCAGCCACCTTACTGGCACTCTTAGATTACCTGGCACTCTCAGCCACCTTACTGGCACTCTTAGATTACCTGGCACTCAGCCACCTTACTGGCACTCTTAGATTACCTGGCACTCTCAGTCACCTTACTGGCACTCTCAGATTACCTGGCACTCTCAGTCACCTTACTGGCACTCTCAGATTACCTGGCACTCTCAGTCACCTTAATGGCACTCTCAGCCACCTTACTGGCACTTTCAGTCACCTTACTGGCACTCTCAGCCACATTACCTGGCACTCTCAGCCACCTTACTGGCACTCTCAGCCACCTTACTGGCACTCAGCCACCTTACTGGCACTCTCAGCCACCTTACTGGCACTCTCAGCCACCTTACCTGGCACTCTCAGCCACCTTACTGGCACTCTCAGCCACCTTACCTGGCACTCTCAGCCACCTTACTGGCACTCTCAGCCACCTTACTGGCACTCTCAGCCACCTTACCTGGCACTTTCAGCCACCTTACCTGGCACTCTCAGCCACCTTACCTGGCATTCTCAGCCACCTTACTGGCACTCTCAGCCACCTTACTGGCACTCTCAGCCACCTTACCTGGCACTCTCAGCCACCTTACTGGCACTCTCAGCCCCCCCATTAGCACTCTCAGCCTCCCCCCCCCCCCCACTCGCTGAGAACTGTGATGATGGACTACTTACCGTGAGACCGGGGGATGACGCCCCCTGTCTATCCTAGTCTATCTATGCCCCTGGAGCAGTTTCTAGGTCGTGATCAAGTCTCTTACAATATCATGGCCAAGCTCCTCAAGTCTTTCTTCATTGCTCATGCCTCTCAGCTCCGGGACCAGTCTGATGGCGAATTTATGGACTTCCTCGACAATACGTGAGACTGTGGGGGGGGGGTGAGTGCGTGCATGCGGGTACGTGTCACCAGCAACAGTAACAGCAGTGTCAACAGGGGTGTCAACAAGGGTCAGAAACGATATGACACTATAGCCGATATATCCACGTGCTGATTAACTCAATGCTGGCAGGTGTGGGACAAGAGGCTCTCACGTGTGGCCAGGTGTGGGGTCAAGAGGCTCTCACGTGTGGGCCAGGTGTGGGACAAGAGGCCCTCACGTGTGGCCAGGTGTGGGACAAGAGGCCCTCACGTGTGGCCAGGTGTGGGACAAGAGGCTCTCACGTGTGGGCCAGGTGTGGGGTCAAGAGGCTCTCACGTGTGACCAGGTGTGGGACAAGAGGCTCTCACGTGTGGGCCAGGTGTGGGGTCAAGAGGCTCTCACGTGTGGCCAGGTGTGGGACAAGAGGCCCTCACGTGTGGCCAGGTGTGGGGTCAAGAGTCCAACTATGACACCGTGGGCGACTCTGAATGAGAGCGCATTACTCTCAGTGTATACCAATACCTGATCAACCAGGCTGTGATTCATACGTCAGGCTGCGAGTAGCCGCGTCAAACAGCCTGGTTGACCAGTCTAGCAACAAGGAGGCCTGGTCGATGACCGGGCCGCGGGGACGCTAAGCCCCGGAACAACTCCAAGGTAAGGTAAGGTGTACATGGTTGAAAAAAAGAGTGAAAGGGTTCAAAACACAATACACAAATCTTTTATCTCTCACTTGCTATCTATATCTATCTCTTCTTCGTCTCCTTCCCTCCCATGATGGACAATGAGATGAAGAGCCAATGGTATTGGCCAGGGTGGCAGGGAATGGGTCATTGACTGACTTGGCAGGGTTTGGCAGGGTTTGGCAGGGTTTGGCAGGGCCTGGCAGGGCCTGGCAGGGCTTGACAGGGCCTGGCAGGGCCTGGGCTTGGCAGGGCTTGGCAGGGCTTGGCAGGCTGGGGGATAATCTGGGATGGGGAAGAGGCGGAGGGGAAAGGGAAGGAAAGAGAGAAGATGGAGTAAAAGAGAGAAAGAGAAGGAAGGGTGGAGGAGGGAGGGGTGTGTGTGAGGGGGGGGGGAAACAGACAAGCCGCCGACATCGATCAATCCGCCACATTCCGCAGCACTCAGCCACAGACGTCGTAGTGGCGGCACCTCGCGACACCCCGACTATCGCTCAGCAACAGGTGTGAGCACGAGGCGCTGCTGAGTTCCGATGCCAGCGGCAGCGGCGGGTCCCACACCCCACTCCCGGGCCGCTGTCTCCCAGGGTGGTGGTGGTGGTGGGGTCACAGGTGGAGGGTGGTGGTGGTGGTGGGGTCACAGGTGGTGGGTGGTGGTGGTGGGTGGTGGTGGTGGGGTCACAGGTGGAGGGTGGTGGTGGTGGGGTCACAGGTGGTGGTGGTGGTGGTGGGGGTCACAGGTGGAGGGTGGTGGTGGTGGTGGTGGGGTCACAGGTGGAGGGTGGTGGTGGTGGTGGTGGGGTCACAGGTGGAGGGTGGTGGTGGTGGTGGGGTCACAGGTGGTGGGTGGTGGTGGTGGTGGTGGTGGTGGTGGTGGGGTGGTGGAGGGTGGTGGTGGTGGTGGTGGGGTCACAGGTGGAGGGTGGTGGTGGTGGTGGGGTCACAGGTGGAGTCAGGTGGTGGTGGTGGGGTCACAGGTGGAGGGTGGTGGTGGGGTCACAGGTGGAGGGTGGTGGTGGTGGTGGTGGGGTCACAGGTGGAGGGTGGTGGTGGTGGTGGGGTCACAGGTGGTGGGTGGTGGTGGTGGTGGTGGTGGTGGTGGGGTCACAGGTGGAGGGTGGTGGTGGTGGTGGTGGGGTCACAGGTGGAGGGTGGTGGTGGTGGTGGGGTCACAGGTGGAGGGAGGTGGTGGTGGTGGGGTCACAGGTGGTGGTGGTGGGGTCACAGGTGGAGGTGGTGGTGGTGGTGGGGTGGTGGAGGGTGGTGGTGGGGTCACAGGTGGAGGGTGGTGGTGGTGGTGGTGGGGGGTCACAGGTGGAGGGTGGTGGTGGTGGTGGGGTCACAGGTGGAGGGTGGTGGTGGTGGTGGCGGTGGGGTCACAGGTGGAGGGTGGTGGTGGTGGTGGTGGTGGGGTCACAGGTGGAGGGTGGTGGTGGTGGTGGTGGTGGGGTCACAGGTGGAGGGTGGGTGGTGGGGTGGTTGGGGGGTCACAGGTGGAGGGTGGTGGTGGTGGGGTCACAGGTGGAGGGTGGTGGTGGTGGTGGTGGGGTCACAGGTGGAGGGTGGTGATGGTGGTGGGGTCACAGGTGGAGGGTGGTGGTGGTGGTGGGGTCACAGGTGGAGGGTGGTGGTGGGGTCACAGGTGGTGGTGGTGGTGGTGGTGGGGTCACAGGAACTATGCCTGCGCGGGTCCCAGCGGCCGGCGGGTATCCTGCTACTGAGAGTGATGGCCGCCACTGTCACACTTTTAACAACTCCCCCGCCTCTCCAATCTTCCCCTCCCCCCCCCCCCTCTCCCTCACCCACTCTCACACTCCCTCTCACACTTCCTCCCTCTCCCTCTCTCTCTCTCTCTCTCTCTCTCTCTCTCTCTCTCTCTCTCTCTCTCTCTCTCTCTCTCTCTCTCTCACACCTCCGCCAGAACTCGCTGTGTCTACTTAACCCTCGAGTCTTTTATGAGGTGGGTTTCGGGCGGCCGTTTCGCGGCCCGGTCTCTGCAATCAGACGCAGGAACCTTTAAAGGTGCTTACTTAGTTCCCTCTTTAACAGCGGCCCGTTAGTAATATTGGTCAATTTTATGTGCAAGAGTAACCAGCGAACTGTGGTGGCGGCGGCGGTGGCAGGAGCAGCGGTGGCGGTGGCGGCGGCAGGAATAGCGGTGGCAGCGGCAGAAACAGCGGTGGCGGCGGCAGGAGCAGCGGTGGCGGCGGCAGGAACAGCGGTGGCGGCGGCAGGAGCAGCGGTGGCGGCGGCAGGAACAGCGGTGCCGGCGGCAGGAGCAGCGGTGGCGGCGGCAGGAGCAGCGGTGGCGGCGGGCGTAGGAGCGGGCGGGCAAGGGCCGCTGGGCATCGTCCGCCTCACCCCAGTTTTTTGGGTACTTCCTCCCCGATTCACTCCGTTACAAGAGATACACTTTCTTTGTTTGCCATTCACATGGACGGCGTCACCGGGCCACTCCAGGGTCACCCTCCGATGACCCCTCCGACGCCACGCCGGGGGTGACCCTCCGACGCCACGCTGGGGGTGACCCTCCGACGCCACGCCGGGGTGACCATCCGACGCCACGCCGGGATGACCCTCCGACGCCACGCTGGGGTGACCCTCCGACGCCACGCCAGGCTGACCCTCCGACGCCACGCTGGGGTGACCCTCCGACGCCACGCTGGGGTGACCCCTCCGACGCCACGCTGGGGTGACCCTCCGACGCCACGCTGGGGTGACCCTCCGACGCCACGCTGGGGTGACCCTCCGACGCCACGCCAGGCTGACCCTCCGACGCCACGCTGGGGTGACCCCTCCGACGCCACGCCGGGGTGACCCTCCGACCCGACACGCCAGGTTGATACCTGTTATGTACCTGAAGTCTCGGGGAGTTCTACTCCCTAAGCCGCCCTGGGGCCAAGCTTGTCTTGCGATAACTTGATCTAGAAGGCTGTTGCTTGGAGCGGCCCGCCGGGCAACATTTCCATTACAATCTGGTTGGTCCGGCACTTCCTGTAGAATCTTGTCTAGTTGCTTCTTAAACTTGAATGCCAACATTAATTTTTATATTTGGTTGGAGGAGACGGACGAGCCTCTGGCCTCTGGCTTCATACACTGTCCGCTCATTATGACTATAGCACCTCTGGTCTTCACTACATCCCTTGTAAGTTTTCTACCACATCTTTAGCTCCAGAAAGTTGATATTTTGCTCAGCAAATTTGAGACCTGAACTTCCAGCATGTTCCTTCCATGTATTATATGATACCTTTCCCGAGAGGACATTTGGTGTGCGCGTAGACGGTCCCACTAATTTAGGTACTTTTAATTTAATTTAGGTCCCCGTATCCTGGCCGGGGAGGAATTACTGGGTGCAAATCCTTAACTGTAGCCTCTGTTTAACTCAACAGTAAAATGTGTACTTGGTTGTAACAACGATTCTTCGCGGTGGGGATCGTATTCCAGGGACCTGCCCGAAACGCTACGCGTACTAGTGCTGTACAAGAATGTAACAACTCTTGTATATATCTCAAAAAAAGGTACTTAGGTACTGCGTTTATGCCTGCAGTATATGTTTTCCAATATCGCCGTATCACAAGTGAGTAGGGAGCCGTACTCGAGGCGGACAACACGATATATAAAGCAGGAACATTGTGGTGGAATCCCTCGAGTTGTATTATAATCCACCCTATTATTTTCCTGGCTAATGCTACGGCTTTGTTATGCCCAATAAATGTTAGGTGTCCAACATCATAATTCCCAGATACTCTTCCAATGGACGTCCAAGAGGTTGGGCACCATTCCTTCCCCCCGTCCCATCCCAAATCCTTATCCTGTCCCTCTTCTAAGTGCTATATAGTCTAATGGCTTGGAGCTTTCCCCTGATAATTCTCCCCCCCCCTCAAAAAAAAAAAAAACGTATAGACAAACAACATATGATAACCGATATAACAAGGGACAAGGAAACGAAGCAATTGAAAGAGTATGATAGAAAAAAGCTCCGGGAGTCGACACGATGTCACCCTGGGTGCTGAAAGGATGAGCTGAAGGCCTGGGTAGTTTAAAGTGACAAGATATGGGAGCTACCAGACTGTTGGACGACCGATGATGCTATGCCTGTTCTCAAACATTATGACAGGTGGTACTACACATAACTCTATATATATAAAAACTAAACATACTTGCTGGGAGAAAGATGACGAAGGAACAAGATAAGCGGAACATCTGGAGAGCATGGTATTAGTGTTAGGCCTAATAGTAATATTAAGAGTAATGATGTTTATTGATATATGTTACCGGTTGTATGATTGTTCCTGGGGGTCAATGTCGCAGTTTATGATTAGGCCTATTGATTGAAGGGGGCTGATCACACGGGCTGTTGGTGGCTGCAGCTCTCCAGTCCGACATAGTCAAAGGAGTCCGATTTTTCAACTCTACACTTTAAGATGGAGCTTGATAAACATGTCCAAACATAATTACAGGTTTCTTTGCAATTTGCCTGGTATTTAGAGGGAAGGTGCTGGACAACCTTGGGTCCTATTTAGCACATTTTCTCTTAAGTTTCAATGGTGATTAGTTTGCTTATTCTAACATACATCCCCTCTTATATGGGATATTTTAGTGTGCAGATTTCTCTGTTTTCCAGATGTACCTAGAGGGTACTTATGCAGTACCTGGAGAGGGGTACTAGGAGTTCTTCTACTCCACGAGCCTGGCCTCGACTTGGTCCAACAGGCTGTTGCTTGGAGCGGCCCCGCTGGCCCACATATCCACCACAGCCTGGTTCGTTCGGCACTCCTTTGCAAGAACTTATCTAAGTGCCTCTTGAATTCAAGTAGAATATGAAGTAAATGTCTCGCCTGCGTTCGCGGTAATAATACTAGATATCTTAAGATTTCCCAATAATCTAAATGTTTTGGTGCATAGATCCCGGGGTATATCTTGAGGTTATCTTGAGATGATTTCGGGGCTTTTAGGGTCCCCGCGGCCCGGTCCTCGACCAGGCCTCCACCCCCAGGAAGCAGCCCGTGACAGCTGACTAACACCCAGGTACCTATTTTACTGCTAGGTAACAGGGGCATAGGGTGAAAGAAACTCTGCCCATTGTTTCTTGCCGGCGCCTGGGATCGAACCCAGGGACCACAGGATCACAAGTCCCTCGGGGTGTAGGGGGGTGTAAATGCTCCCTGCACATTTTCCATTATCAGCAACATTTAACCTAATGTACAACAATATTCCACCCTAGACAGTACTAAGCTTTGCGCCTTTAAAAAAATTTGATCATTGACTTGACTTTTCATTTCTTGTTTGAAAGGTTCGTCTTAAGCCTATCCAGTCTATGATATAATTGTTCTCACAGTAGTGACAATTACGTTAGTGAAGGCTAAAACAGTTGAAAGTTTGTATTCTTAACTTAATACAGTGCCCTGGGGGACAGAGTACTGTAGTAAGTACAGTGCCCTGGGGGACAGAGTACTGTAGTAAGTACAGTGCCCTGGGGGACAGAGTACTGTAGTAAGTACAGTGCCCTGGGGGACAGAGTACTGTAGTAAGTACAGTGCCCTGGGGGACAGAGTACTGTAGTAAGTACAGTGCCCTGGGGGACAGAGTACTGTAGTAAGTACAGTGCCCTGGGGGACAGAGTACTGTAGTAAGTACAGTGCCCTGGGGGACAGAGTACTGTAGTAAGTACAGTACCCTGGGGGACAGAGTACTGTAGTAAGTACAGTGCCCTGGGGGACAGAGTACTGTAGTAAGTACAGTGCCCTGGGACAGAGTACTGTAGTAAGTACAGTGCCCTGGGAACAGAGTACTGTAGTAAGTACAGTGCCCTGGGAACAGAGTACTGTAGTAAGTACAGTACCCTGGGGTATAGAGTACTGTAGTAAGTACAGTACCCTGGGGGACAGTACTGTAACAGCTACAGTACCCTGGGGGACAGGTTTACATGACAGAAGCTGCTGATTTTACAATTGCTGACCCAATTCTCATTGGATTCAATGGATTAGGAAGTTGAAGATTTATCCCCCACTTTTATTCATGCGGGTTGTGCCTTGTTTAAGAATATTACTACACCAGCGATCATTCCAAGTCAACCGACCTTCCTGTTCCTCGCGTAACTGTTACCTATCTTGAGGTTATCTTGAGATGATTTCGGGGCTTTAGTGTCCCCGCGGCCCGGTCCTCGACCAGGCCTCCACCCCCAGGAAGCAGCCCGTGACAGCTGACTAACACCCAGGCACCTATTTTACTGCTAGGTAACAGGGGCATTCAGGGTGAAAGAAACTTTGCCCATTTGTTTCTGCCTCGTGCGGGAATCGAACCCGCGCCACAGAATTACGAGTCCTGCGCCCAATCCACCAGGCTACGAGGGCCCGTATGATGTATGATACCTAGCAATACATTCAATTTATTCTTAATGGATATAAATGTGCTCATTATTTATATGAGTTTCTATAGGGGCAGGAGTTAGATGAGCTCATGTTAACAGTTTTTAGCTTGCACTTTCATTAAGAACAGGGAGTTGTTCTACTCCCCAAGCTCGGCCCGGGGCCAGACTTGATTTGTTAGGGCTCGATCCAATAGGCTGTTGCATGGTGAGGCCCGCAGGCCGACATATCCACTACAGCCCGGTTGGTCCGGCACTTCTTGGAAAAAACGGTCCAGTTTCTTTCTTGAAAACGTCCACTTTTGTTCCGGCAATATTTCTTATACTTGCAGGGAGGGTATTGAATATATTACATATTATATATATATATATATATATTATATATATATATATATATATATATATATATATATATATATATATATATATATATATATATATAATATATATATATGTATGTGTGGTGTGTTGTACCTAATAGCCAGAACGCAGTTCTTGGCTTACTATGCAAGGCCTGATTTGCCTAATGAACCAAGTTTTCCAGAATTTCATATTTTTCTCATTTTTTTCTTAGAAATGATAACGCTATTCATTTCATTATGAATGAGCTATTTGTTTAAAAATTGAGTTAAAACTAACGTAGATATATGACCGAACCTAACCAACCCTACTAACCTATTTTAACCTAACCTAACTAACCTAACCAACCCTACCTAACCTATCTTAACCTATCTTAACCTAACCTAAACTAACATAACTAAATCAATAATTATGTTCTTATATAATATAATAATATAATTTTTTTTTATATTTAAATAAACCGATAGGAAACAATTTATTGAAAATAAAAAAAAATCACTCAACCTATAGGCAAATCGAGCCTTTATATATATATATATATATATATATATATATATATATATATATATATATATATATATATATATATATATATATATAATGTGTGTGTGCACGCGCGCGTAACAACGATAACAAAAACACTGATCCAAGTATGTGGAAAAACCACATTTGAAAAAATTTGAAAATGCTGAACGCGTTTTCGGCTCAATTCTCCTTCACCAGAGCAAGATAGTGAGAGAGACTCTCACTCTCTATCAACAAGAATCTTGGTTCAAGATTCAGTACGGTGGCGTCCATCCCGTAATACTGAACATTGTAGTGAGTTGCTTGGGTTCCTATGTGTCTTGTTAGGCCAAACCCTTGGAAACACAAACCGTAACTGTCTCTTATTTTCTGCTTGTTACAACATGTAATAAAGTTGTTACATCTTGGCTTAACGTGTTTTATGACGTATTAGAACGTTGTTACAACTTGCTATATTGGTTGTTGTAACTGGCTAGGAGGTGTTAAAACTTGTTCGAACGTTATAGCAACGTCGTAGTTTCGGTGTGTGTTTGGCGGGAAACAGTAGCTTTTTTGGCGCAGTGGTAAAGGGAGAGGACGAGGCGGGTGCCCGCAAAAAGGACTTTGCATTTGCAGAAACGGGTAGTTTGGAGGGAGGCGGCGCCGCGATACACCAAAGGCAGCGGCATTTGGTCCAAGCTTGTATTGTAGTGTATACAAATTATATTTTGACAAGATTCACGTCAATATTCGCAGAAGACGCTACGCGAGGCTAATGAGACACGTAAGGCCTAACCAGAACTGCAAA